TTTATTTAATAAAAAGTATTATATTAAAAACTAACTAATTCAATTTAAATTAAATTGATTTAATTATAATATAAAAGTAGGTTAGTTTATTTGAATTTTTTTTTTTTTGAACTAAGGGGAATTGGGGTAAAGGAGGGGCAATTGGGGGGCTGGGAGAGGGGGGGAGAATGGGGCAAGAGGAATGGAATCTCTTGGTGTGGCGTGGATGGAACGCTTATGGAATAACTACAGAACCCACACGTCAAGTTTTAATTTATTTGAAAATTTGACTAACATAATAAGTTAGTTTTACATGCAATCTCTCACTATCATTTTTTCTCCACTGAAATCCTGACCCTCTCATAGTCTCATTGTCCTCTTCCAAAACTTCCAACACAAAAATTTCCTCTATTTATTTTTAAAAAACAGTAGTGGTAGGTATAAAAATCATTTTTTTATATAATTTTTATATATTATTAAAGAATATATATTTAAGATTATAAATTTTTAATAAATAAAAAAATTAATTATTTAAATTATACGTAAAATTATATTTAAAGGTAATAAAAAATTATCTTTTAATTATTTTTAATTTAAAAGAATATCAAAGTTTAAAGGTTAGTCTCGTCTTTGCGCATAAACCAAAAAAAATCAGATATTCGCACTTTATATTCGCTCATTCCCCTTTCCTCTAATTTCTCCAAAAAAAAATTTCTAATTTTATATTTTTTTCGTTCCCTCTGCAATGTCTCTCCTCCAACTCCCTCTCTCCGCTCCCGCCATACGCTCCTCGCCGTCGTACTCCGTGCAGCCGATTGCTTCCTCTCAAATTTCCAGCTGTAAGAGCTGCTTCTCACCAGAATTATCACCGTTAAAGATCGTTACTGCGAATGTGCATGCGACGGCGAAGAACAGGAACAAGCATACCGCCGTTTTATGGGTGAGATCGAGCTTGGAAACCACGGGCGCGACGGTGGGCGAGGTTACCGAAGTTACCAAGGACACTTTTTGGCCTATCGTCAACGCCGCCGGAGATAAAACCGTCGTCCTGGATATGTACACCCAATGGTAACTAACGCATAAAGTACACTTTTACACTCATGAATGCTCTGATTTCCACTGGTATTTCTTGTAAATTTGATGAAAATTAAGGGGTAGTTTCAGTGATTGAATCCTTTTATGTTTTGGTAGCTGTAGTAGTCATGGTTTGCATTCATGTTCCACATGCATGTGGGATGTCGCAAGTAGAACCGGCTGGCTTTGTGGTACAATTTTTTATTGTAAATATTATAATTACAATATCAGTGATATTATAAACTAAACTTACAATATTATATGTTATTATATAATTAATTTTTTTATTTACAATCTACTATTTCATTTAATTGTAAGCTTACGGTCTTACTAACTTTAACATTGCTGATTTTTCATGTGCCAATCCTAATATCTCCGTGACATTTAAGTTTAAGCTTCTATCTACTATAATTGGTTTCTCCCTTACTATTAATTTTCTCAATGAAATTCTGGTTCATGCAAATGGAAACCTTCAATGCTAACTACTGAAATAAACTGAAGCTTTAGAAAAAGCTACTTAGGGTGCTGGTTTTGAATCTTTACTAGCTAGCTAGCAGACAGATTAAACTTTGAAGATGGAGTGATCCAACGAGACCTAATTAAATTAAATGTGGTAGATATTTAAGTTACCCGTCTTGAGTTACTTGTTAGGTTAGAGTTCTGAAGCCTGTTCAAGAGGACTACATTTTATGCCAACCAAGTCCATCAATCATCAGTGATAATAGTCCTAAGAAAAAAGATCTCTAGACTTATTGATGAGTCATGTTTTTCAGTCTTGTGGGGTGTGGTTATTATTATCATCAATATTGTTAAGATCACCAAAATTTTAGTTTTTTTTTTTAAAACAATGTCTGAAAATATCAGTTTGTTAATTAATTTTAATTTGTTAATTAATAAATATCAACTACTCTATCACTTATTAATTAATAGTTACAATTATTACTTATTTTTATTGGTTAAATTAAATAGAATCAGTATTTTTAAAGATAATATTTTATAGTTTAAGTAGTCAAAACATTATCATCGGTAACCATAACCGTGCCAAGTCATGTGTGGTCGCAAAACTACATTAAGTTGATTCATTTAATTCAAACTGTCCCTGGACACTGCAGGTGAGGTCCTTGCAAATTGATGGCCCCCAAGTTTCAAGAATTATCTGAGAAGTTCCTTGATGTTGTCTTCCTAAAGCTTGATTGCAATCAAGAAAACAAGGTAAACATTCCTATACAATTCAAATCCCTTAAACACAACTATGATGGCATAATCATGTATTAACCTGCTGTTGTGCGTGAACACCAAATTCTTGCTCATTTATATATTCTAACATACACAAACGTGCACACACTAGGAGAGATGATAATCTGTGTCTCGCTTATTCATGGTTGCTTTTGGAATGGTTCGGCAGCCACTGGCAAAGGAACTTGGCATTAAGGTGGTTCCTACTCTCAAGATTCTAAAGGACAAGAAGATTGTAAAAGAGATCACCGGCGCTAAATTTGATGACTTGGTGCTTGCCATTGAGACTGTCCATTAATTCAGCTAACTTCCCTACGTAAAATGTTCCACAACACAAAGAAGAATACCTGTTTTATTGTACTTGTATGTATCCATTGTGTAATTAATTTGTGCAGAAGTTAACGTTGGGAGGAGGATGGGAACAGCATCCTGCTTCTGGTAAGGCAGAAGTTTGGAATTCTCTGTTTGTTGTCTAATAAGATGTAAATGTCAAAGTGATTAATTAAGTGCATTCCTAAACTGTATCTTTAAATTGAGGTTGTTGTTCTATATATAAAGGTTTCCTCTTCTCCTGATTCAAAATTTCCAGCAACAAGGTTGCTTTTTATTGCCATATTTAGCCTAGTAAAGCTAGGAACCTCCTACACCTTTAATTAGGCTTAACTCGTTTTGGGCCAGGTTTAAATAAGTTAACCGGCTGAGAATGAATCGGAGATTACGGTGGTGGGAGAAGTACTGTGGCTCTTAACCGATGGAAGTTAAAGGACATTTTAATATTTTTTATATCTCAGTATTGTAATCAATAAAAGGTAGGTGAGTATTTTTAGTCTTTATTATTATTATTATTTTTTATCTTAAGTTGTATAATAAAAAGTAATTTTTTTCATTTCTTA